CTCTCCCTCCTCCTTCCCTCCTCTCCTCTCCCTCCCTCTCCCCTCCCTCCCCTCCCTCCCCTCCCCTCCCCTTTTTCTCTCTTCTCTCTCTCTCTTGTCTTGTGTTGTCTTGTCCTCTCAATCTCATCCTCATTCTGATAATTAATGAACCACCATAGAAATGGATTGAATCAACATTGATCGATATTTCCGAGTCTGGAGTAGAAATCTTGAAAATTTTAACGTCTGTGGCTCTGACTCTGGCTAGAGCTATCGACGCCGACCGATTCCGACTCCACATCCATTTCAGAAAGCTGCTCCCATTTTCCCCGACTTCGATCCTCGAAATATCATCGAGTCTGCAATTGCATCAATCTCAGTGGGTGCCCGGTCAGAGGCTGGGGGGGGGGGAGCAAGTTGCCTCGCTTGCCCCTCCCCCCCCCCCCCCCATAGCGACGCTAATTGGGGATCGTTGTTGTTATGTGACGTTACCATCAGACATAAGGGATCAAAATCATACAATATACTCTCTTTTTTACAAAGAATGTGCAGTTCGATAATGAATGTCTCGCATAGAGTGATGCAGCCGCGGAGTTTGATTTCTGATGTTAATCCACCCGTGACCCGATGTCACGTTCCCATGTCGCTACTCAGCCTGTGAATACCCGACTTCAGTGCAGAAACAGCGCCGCTGACTGGTCGATTAGCCATTGGGTAGACTGGGACATTTCAACACCGGCCGTCTACCGCCGTATGCTGACGCAATCGTACGCCGCTGCATCTGCAACATTATCACGTGCCATGCATATTCATTGCCCTGCTTTTGATTCATTCTGGCCAGCTTGTGGTCGGAGAGCCCGACAAGCGCGCTTGGACTGCTCGGTGACTGGGTGACAGACTGGAATCCAAGTCACGATGATGTGCGAGCTCGTATTCGTTAACGCCGCGGTTCCGCCTCGCAATCACGATGCGCTTTGTGAGTGCGATGACTGCGTTAGTTTGAGAGCAATTTCGTGACTGCCTCTTTCTATTTTTCCCGTCTTATTTCTTCCGGGCTCGTCTTGGCTGCCTGGTAAGAGCTTTACAGCAGTAACAAACCATTGGCCACAGAGTCCTCAGAGTTAAAGGAAATAGTTCACTTTTTAACATGGGTTTTGAACTGGAATAGCAGTTCCGTAGCTTGGGCTGAGACGAGCATAAATCAGGAGCTTTTACAGCCCAACGATCACCCTAGGCAAAGATATTCTATTTCTCGTCCCAGGATGTGTGCCTTGCATATATTCGCATCCAGTATGAAAAGAGCATGGGTCCCGAAAATTCTTCAGAAACTAGTGAAATTATCTACGAGAACTCAAGAGAAATTCTCGTACTGATCAATAAGGACATTCAGCAGCAGCAGATCGCCCAAATGCCGGTGGCCGCGATAATTTCTCTAGTTTCTGAAGAATTTTCGGAACCCATGCTCTTTTCATACTGGATCGCCTGTGCCTTACAGAAACTGAAAAGTTCTTCTTATATCAAAATATAGAAAATAATCTTTTGTTATAAATAGGTTTTATTTTCTTTGCTGATCATTTTGAACATAAAAAATCATAAATCCATTGCAAAAAAAATAATTTCGTGAAAGTGAACTATTTCCTTTAACCCTCGCACGACCAGGCCATTTCTCATAACACGAACGACCAGGGGGGGGTTGTTACGACCCCCCCCCTGGCGTTTCGAAACGGAAGGTCGTAGAGCTTAGCGGAAAAAACCAACGGATTGCTCTCAACGAGATCTCGCGATTGGTGGTATATTTTTTGGTCCTAGGTCAACATTTGACCTACTTTTGACCGGTCAAAGGTCAAATTTTCGGAAAAATAGACTTTTTTCAACTTTCGGCGGCGATTGCGGCAAAACGGTGGGAGATATCGACTTGAAACCTTCACTATCGTGTTCCTTGATCAATTCTCTATCGTTTGGTATGTATTTCGTTTCCCTAGCTCTAAAAATGGAGCGTTGGGAGCGCCGGAAGTCGGCAAGGTCACAGTCGGCGGCAGAAATTCGAACAATCAAAATTTAAATTTTTGAAATCTGATTGTATTTTTGGATTTGGGAGGTCCATTTGCTCCCTAAAGAAGCTAATATTGCTGCATATTCCCATTGAGGTGACAAGAATTAGCAAAATAGTGGTTCGGGCGCTTTTCAAAAATAGTACCGGACGCTGTTCCTCTTGTGACGTCATAGCTCCGTGACCTGACCTGACCCGGTCAAATTTCTTATACCATATGATAGCCAATACTTGCCCCAACATGCATGGGAAGTTTCATCACGATCCATCGACCGATGTCCGTACCACCGGCAGGAAACCTCGGGCGTTGGCACTCAGTTTGTGAAAATCCGGCCGGAGGCTGTACCTCTTATGACGTCATAACTCCGTGACCTGACATGACCCGATCAATTTTTTTCGGCAAAAGATGCGCAAAGGTTGCCCCAGAGGGTATTGAAAATTTCAGCCCGCTACGACAAGCCGTTTAGCGTGCACTTCGAAAAAACCTCAGGGGGGGGGGTTGATACAACCCCCCCCCCCCCCCTAGGCGTTCTAGGGTTAAGATTATCGAATAGAATGAGCAGTTGATTTAATTGACATGACTGAGTGTTGAGTAGGTAACATAACTTCTTACCTACGGAGCTTTTACGATAAAATAGCGACTAAAATTCAGCAAATATGCGAATATTGGTTTTTGCGACTAATTGTAGGTAACAAATGATTTGAAGGCTGCTCTCCTAACAGTACAACGTGTACATCTTCAAATCTTTTACGTGAACATTTGCGATGCTATGCGTCCGAACAACACCACCCGCTCCCCCATGCCCGTGCACCCGTCCGTGACCGCCCGCCCGTCCTTTCTGCCCACAGCGGTGACCATGCGCGCCCCATGTCTGCGCTGGAGCCAGTGGGCCGGCCGGCGGCTGGCGCTCTCGCTCACTCCGTCGCCAGCCTCCGCCTGTGTCGGTCGTGCTCCGTCCCGCTCCCTCGCCACCTCAACGCCGCTCGCCATGATCAAGGTACCGGTGTGGGCTGTGGATGAGACGGGGTGGGTGGATTAGGGTGTGTGTGTGTGTGTGGCGGGGGGGGGGGGGTAGTGTGTATTTAGTATTATTATTTATTTTATATTATTTATGTGTGGTACCTACTCGGGAAATAATTATCGCTATTTATCCCGGCATCTTTGCAAGGTTATTTCTGTGATCGATGGGATTGGAGGAAAACATCTACGAAACAAACTGCGGACAGTTTGTATGCAGCCGCTTCAAACCACGACTGATTCGATGGATCATTGGGATGTCATTTAGTCAATGAGTGGATACTCGCCTTGATGGTGCTGACTCTGTTTAACCTAGTTCGCTGTCCCTCACAGGTCGGAGACAAGCTACCCGAGGCCACCCTCTTCGAGGACTCGCCGGCCAACAGCGTGAAGACCAGTGACCTCTGCAAGGGCAAGCGGGTGATCCTGATCGGCGTTCCGGGCGCCTTCACACCGGCCTGCTCCCAGGTACGGATTAGGGACAGTCACTGACGGTATTTATTGGTCTGGAGGGCTGCGGTTTAGGGTTAATGTATGCTAGTTTTACAGGATTCGATATTAACATTCTTAACAGATATGTTTGCCAAAGAAAACAATGGCAACTAAAAATTGCACCTTAAAAACAGGAAGCTCCCGATTTTTGTAAAAGGTGCTACGTTGTCAATTTTCCGGATTTAGCTCTAGCAACGTCACTTATTTTTTTTTTTCGGTTTAGCGTGGACGAATGACAAAGTGTGGCCTGAAAAATTGGAATGGTAATGGTATGCAGTATGTCAACCTGTTTCAAACGTGCTGCTGTTTAGACTGCATGCCTTTTACTACCTCTGCTCCCATGACTACCATAAAGTCACCAGCTCATGAATCATACATGTGGTCTTCTTGCAATCCGTTTACACCGCGGTATACTCGGGGTCTTGTGGCGCCATGTTTATGGTGCAATGTTTGACGCTGTGTCGCAGTAAACAACCTAAACAAACGTCATTAGGTACTCAGTAGAGCTACATCGCCAATCCCTTCCTCCTAAACGCTATCCTTAAAGACGCCGCCGTGTTTACTAACTGTGGATCGGTTTCGCGAGTCCACAGAGTCACAGGAGAGTGTTTGCTCTGCCCCATTAGTAGTCGCACGGTCTGCTGTCGGCGAGTCGTGCCGACGGCCCGTTCCGCGTCGTTAGGATGACGTCACTCCCCCAGCTGCGCCGCGTCACTTTGCTCACCCCACGGCCCCAGGCTCCGCTCAATGTCGCCAGACGGCGGATGCAGACGTGCCTTCCGCCTCGCTGGCTGGGCTGGCGAGGCGTCCGGCGTTTTTGTCGAGTCCCTTTCATTTCCCCTCCTCGTGCAGGGGAGAGAGAGAGTGCTGAGTCATTGGGTCTGAACGCTGCTGCCGGTCTGTCGGCGGCAGGATGACGAGGAACTCAGGGAATCCCTAGCTAGTTTGTGATTTGCCGCGCCTGATCCGGCGTGACGTGTTGGGACGCGGCCCGGGGTTCACCGGCTCTATCGTGGATAATCAGCTCGGTTCCGCTGGGTGCAGGGGTGGTATCGCCGACTGCACAGACTTGTCTCGCCGGACTTAGACCACCGCTGACCACAGGCCCTCCCAACGGGGGCGTGAAGTCTTCCCTCCGGGTATACAGACTACCGCTGGGTGCAAACTGCAAAGACTGTTCCGTCTTTTGCAGGGAATTTTCCCGCCGGGCGCAAAGACTGTCCCCCCTGGTGCAGAGGCTGTTATGCAGAGCGTTGGGTCATAAATGCTAGTTCCCGAACTGACCTGGGGTCACAGAACTCGCGGCGTGCAAGGGACCTTCACAGTCACGTCACCGACCAAGCCAAGTGGCGGTGCCTCAATATTGTTGCCTGTTGGTCAATGTTCAGTTGCCATGCTTTAATGCCGCGTTTTGCTCCGACTTGGCGCAGCGCTCTTGTGATTGTGCTGTTGAATTATTCCATCGCTGGAATGGACGTAATTTTCGAACGTTCGACATTGGTTTGTGGTCCGATTGCTGCGTTTACGATGATCATCGGATGTTTGTCGCTATCGATAGTGTTCCGTGCCCGACAGTGGTCGGCGGAGATGTCGATCAATAGCGAAATGAAACAAGTTATTGGGAAACTAACGTTATTGGGATATTACTTGCGTCACGCTGCTGGACTAACTGAGATGCATTCACGTCCCTGTCATAGTTGAAAGCGGATTAATTATCGTGTTTTGAGCGTTGCCTAGCTACCGTGGGGTGTCGCCATGACAACTCAGCATGTAACAGCTCGGGACAAAAGCAGCACCAAAGATTGTAACAACTATGCGAGGCAAGATTGTAGCAACTACGCTAGACATTCGAACTTGAGGATGACTGTCATCTAAGAATGATTATGTTTTGCTTGCAATGCACGTCTCCTCATTGATCCCCTACTCATTAGTGAATTGTTCGCTCGAAAAGTTGTCCAATCAAATCAACAAAAGGCGTGAATATGGCCTATTACCCTCCATTCCTCTTCTTTCTAACAGGCATTGAGACACGGTTTGGTTAAGCATATATTCCCATATCTCTCAAAATCATCTGAAACAGCCTGCTTTGTACTGCACGTTTCCGCGTCCCGCCGCGCGCCGACCCGTGACTTGGCTTCGTCGTGACGGCCTGTGGCGTGACTCAGATGGTGAATTCTCCACACCTGAGCGCAGTGATCCGGTACGTAACCCCACGTAACTCTGCTCCGTCTGGCCTGTTATTGGATTGTACCGGGTCACACCACACCTGTGTCCGAAGCCTTAAGAATTGATGTATCCTTATATATGCCGCTGGTGGTCGGGATGCTGTCCAAAACCCGTAACAAGGGTGCTTACGCCGTAGCAAGGATGAGAGTTGATAGCTTGCATGTGCGCTTGGATTTAGAGTCTATATGTAGAGGCTCTTTTTTCATTGCCGCAATTTATTGTAGCAGTAAATCATTATCTTGGTGTAGTCTTAGCTCAGACTTATTTTGACCGATACCGTTGCAAATAGTTCGATGGTGACTGTGGTTGGAACTCTCTGCACCCACCCTGTGTTGACATTCTGCGGATTTTCCTTGTACTGCTGCACACTGCACTGGTGGAGTGACGAGACTACGCGAAAACATGGCGATATCGGGGGGATGTTGCAACACTGAAGTGTCATTGGTTTAACCACAGTAGCGGGACGGAAGCTGCAAAAAGTACCGGCTACCGAGTTTAGCAACCACGTCCACTACCTTCCGCGTCACCGGATAGGAGCAAGATTGAAGATGTTCTATTATTCGCTACGCTTTCTGCTTTATTCGACAAAAATGTTGTTTATCACTTATGGAGCTATGCATAATTGCATGCTTTCTCCAATAACTACCTGACTGCCGCAGCCGCAGCCGCATGCTGTGTCATGTCGGGCAGGTTTTCACGCCGGCCTTTTTGGCATCCTGTCGTGTGCCATTCACTGGCGTCGCTGGCACCGTGCCATTGCGGCTGAGTCTGGGCAGCCCATAGTGACAGGCCCCGTCGGCGGGGCCCCCTCCCTGCCTGGCGCACTGGATTGTCGCCGCCCGTCGTTCCCCCATGTTTGATCTAAAGAGTGGCGTATGGGAGCGTGGACAACCGCGCGCTATCACCGTTGTATGGAGTACCTATCGACCGAGCCCGGCAGGCCGAAGAGGCACTGTTCTTGTTGGCATGGTGACCATCTGTTGCTTTTTGCGTTGGTAGTGAGTGGTGACAGCTCAAAGTGGCTCAAACGGCAGTGACAGCGCGTTGGCGTTTGGCTTGCTTGGCTTCAATCATGTTAAGAGGACTCTCGCGCATTTTTCCGTCGAGGCGACATCTAAACCTGTTCGGTAATTTGCGCTTTAACATAACCAACAAGACAGTGCGATGAGTTTTATCACTAAGCTACCACTCTTGGCTTTGACTTCATGTCCGTGTGAGAAACACATTGGGGTCGCAGAGCCCAGTCGACTAGCCCTCCAAGGCCGGACGTGCAGCTGAGCGAGCAGGGGGGAGTGCAGATGCTCGATCACTCAAACTAATGAGACCAACAGCTGCGGCCGGGATGAACGCGGCCTTAACTCATTGGAACGTGGGGAACTGCAGCCATGACTGTGCTACGGTAGGAGTGTGTAGTCGCCGTTGTAGGAAGATAATTATTTAGCAGCCGTCATTTTCAGACACTCACAAGTGTGCCGCTCACCTGGCGCTGCATGAACCCTCCTAATATCCTTCATCCCCACTCCACTGGTACGGCCCCTGACACCCCCGTTCTCTATTCTCAGACTCACCTGCCTGACTACATCAGGGAGTTACAGCAAGCTTGTCTCCCCGTCCCCGGTGACCCCAAACTTGTCATTGGCAACCCCATTCTCTTTTCTTCTTCCTTTCAGACTCACTTTCCCGGCCACATCAGGGATGATGACCTGCCTCCCCATATTCGACCAGCAACGACTCACCACCTTCGTCCTTTTTCAGACTCACCAACCAACACCTTCCTCCTTTTTTCAGACCCACCTGCCCGGCTACATCAAGGGTTCTGACCTCTCTCCCCATATTCGACCGCTAACACCTGCCTCCTTTTTCAGACCCACCTTCCCGGCTACATCAAGGAGGCCGACACCCTGAAAGCGACTGGTGTGGATGAGATTGTCTGCATGGCCGTCAACGACCCGTTCGTCACCGCCGGCTGGGCCAAGGCGCAGGGAGCGGAGGGCAAGGTGAGACGGCCAAGGCGCAGGGAGCAGAGGGCAAGGTGAGACGGCCAAGGCGCAGGGCACAGAAGGCAGGGTAAGACGACCGGCCGGGCCCAGGTGCAGGGAGCAGGGGGAAAGGTGAGGGCTGGAGGTGCAGCGCGCTGAGGGAAAGGTTAGGAGGAATGAACGGGCCTTGGAGGCGCTTCTGGGAATGCTCTGGGGTGTAGGAACGCAAAGTGCAGTTGGCTATAAGTGGTCTGTTAGGCTAGCGGTTGGGCTCAGCATTTCCGAATAAATGGTGACCCTCCACAGTATCATGGAGCTGGTGTTTTACGTGTCTGTAGCTGAAATCGCAAAGATAAGGTGCGCGGCGCGCCCCTAACCCCCAACAAACAAACAAAAGATAAGGTACGGGGACCCGCAGTTGCTACTGTACACGAACCCCAAGTCTAACCGTCTGCCCTGTCCAGTAACAACCGATAACATTGACATAGACTGCCGGCCCTTATGCAAGAGCAGCTGAGGTTTTCTGTGCATGTACTCTGAAAGCTTATCGTTGTTCTCTGTGGGGATGCTGGGACAATTTATTTGTTTTGTTTTGTTGGGTTAGGCCCTTTCGGTCCAATGAGACCATTTCAGAGCCGGGAGGATGATAGGATATAGGGGGAGACATTGGTCTGGACAGGCACCCTAGTGAGTCGCCGGGGCTGAGCCCGTCCAGAGGACAGGCCACCCAGCCCCAAGGCACTCGCTGCACCCGGCTACGGGGTGCGCTCCCTCGGGAGCAACGGTGCCGCTCCAAGGGAGCAGCCCGCATGAGATAAAGTTGCCTGTCCAGCCCGGAGGGGGGTTGCGGCGTGGAGGAGAAGGATTTCAGTATCCTGAGGATAGAAGCACGGAACGGTGGGGACCATTTACTCAGGGTCGCTGTACAGTAGCAACTGCGGGTCCCCGTACGGTGTACGGACAACGTGATAAGTGAACAAGTATGATTCAGCTAGCGGTGTTTTCTTTCTGCATTTTGGCAATCCTAGATGCATGAATTGCTGTTATGAAACTATTTGCAGCATGCTATAACGTGGTAGCCATACTATTTTCTGGATCACGATACCGTCTTGGATATGGACATTCACAGACCTTGCTCGCTGATGCTAGCGCCACCTGTCTGTGCTGTTTTGTCCCTCCGACCCCGTGTTCCACTGCGTGCCCCACGCGCTAGGTGGCGCTACCCAACGGGGAGCCCTTGTAGTGTAGCTGACCCGGGCAGCAGGGGGCGCTGATGTCCTCTGGCCTGGCTCTATTGTCGCTGACTCTTTGTTCCGATTGCCAGGTTCTGACTTCTGGCTTCGCCATTTTTACTTTTTTAGAACGAAAGACAAAGGCCAAAGCTGACACAAGGCTAGCACATGCTGTTACCCCACCTCCAGCAATGCCCCACTCCCGTTCGCCTCGCAGCGGCGGTTGGTCGGCATCGACAGATCAGTGGTATGGTGACCCGACTCGTCCCAATGATGATCTTATTCTGGCTCTTTGGCCACCTGATCCCATCCCTGAAGGCTATAACGATCTAACCCTTCTCTCCCCAGGTTCGTATCCTGTCCGACGTGAAGCGTGAGCTGACCTCTGCGATGGGCATGGATTTCGACCTGTCCGACATCCTGGGCACGGTGCGCTGCAAGCGCTTCTCCATGGTGCTGCAGGACGGCGTGGTCGAGTCGCTGGACGTCGAGCCCGACGGCAAGGGCCTCTCCTGCTCCCTCGCCGACGTACTCGCCAAGAAGCTGGCCAAAAAGTGAGCGCGGCGCTGGCGGCGGCGGCGGACCGGCCAGTACGGGCGCGCTGAGGGTGAGCGGGGTGGGAGAGCTGTGAGACGGAGGGTGAGAAGGGGAGAGCTGGGCGCGCTGAGGGCTGAGCGGGGTGAGAAGGGGAGCTGGGATGTCTGGCCGTGGCAGTGAGAGCGTAGGGCATTCAGAGAGCTGAGTGTTGTAAATGTTTCTCAGAAACGTGACATGACTTTTGTCGGATCGTTGAGAATTAACCTGCTTAGAGTCTGGTTACGAGGTGTTAACCGGCGAATCATGGCTGTTCGCTATATTGAGCTTGTAACAAAACCTCTCCAGAATATATTGTTTAGAATGTCTATTGTCCAAACACCAGATAGGTGTGTCTTTGTTTATTATATGAAGCACAATCGTGAGCACTGCACGGTGACAATAAATATTTGGTTATGAATGACCAGCTTTTTGCGTCGCAAACAGATCAGATCAGATTTTTTTCCCGGGGCGTTGGCTTTGCAATGCCACCCCATCCGTATTATCTTCGTCTGATATTTTATCGATTCTTGTGATCTCCCTCTTTGGCGTTCATTTGTTATTTCTACATCTCCATAATTGATATAAGTTGTTCTTCTTTTTCTCCATTGACTGGTGACACATTAATTGGTGACAAACATATGACTACAGTTATAAAAAGTTATTGGCTACTTCTAAAAAACGCCCCCCCCCCCCCCCCCAAGAAAAACAAAACATTGGGTCAAAAAGTGAGACGCTTTCTAACTGACCGATGCTCACTAAGTCAGTACAGACACGAGCCCCACGACTATGGTGCTCCTACACCAGACATACAATTTATTGTCACTTCACGGTGACGATTTTAGCGAATTTGATTGGGCTTTTATCGTTTTCTTTTTGCAGAGGGGCTACATATTCGTGCATTATGCGCCCGAGTGCAGTCATTCAAATTAAAACGATACCGTAGGTGGCTCATAAATGGTTTTAAATACATAAAGCGACATGCCGTAAACAGCACTAAAATTTGTCCAAGCATCACAATTTTCACCGGTTCTTATTTTTAATCGATGCCATTTGCCAACGTTGCTTAATGTTTCGGTTGTGGGTTTTTTTCCGGAACCGGTTCTTTGTTTTCATCGTTCAGAGTGCACCTGGAGTTTTCCCAATGCCTTCTCGTTAAAAACAAACCGCTCGTCCATTGTAACTAATGGGCATCGTGGAGCTGTCTTTGTTTTGCTGACGCTCTGCAAATACTGAACATCTCTACTGTCGAAATTGAAAACATCTGAAATTTCTGATGAGGATGCAATGCAACTGCAGCTGCCTACGAACAACCAGTTGCCTGGTGTTTGGTTGCAAAATAGCGATTGATGCTTTTCAGCGTTGTGTGTTACACTTCATCTGTCAAAACTCTTCAATTTGTCATCGACTTTGGCACACGCCTACTGAAGCTAAGTGAATCCGAAGCCCCGTCGCTGACATTCATTTCGCAAACATGTGCCGATCGCTTTGTTTGTGTCGGCTTCCTCTCCGACAATTAATTGGTGAGATGTCCGTCGGTCCGCGCGGCGATTCCCGCTTTGAAGTCGGAGCGTGAAAACACGCGGGCCGATTGGGAGCCGGCGGCTGTGACATTCCCGGCGCGGGCCGACTGTCGCTGTTTGTATGTGTGTGTGCGCGCCTGACCTTCTAATTGGGACCGGTGACAATGGACGGACGTTGTTAGCGCCGGCCGGCAGTGAGCCTCAGTGGCTGGCGACTGGGTGTGAACTGGCGGAGGACGCGGTCACGGCGGGGCGAGACGGTCGAGCCGGAAACCCCGGTGGTAGGTATAACTTCTGGTGAGCCTGTGAGAGAGAATTCACAGGATGCGGGGCTACAGCTGTTAGCAATATAAGCCCAAATACTGCAAATAAGCTCGGAAATTTTGGCTAGCAGAGGAAGTAGCTGAGCTGAGAGCTCCTGGGGCCTGGGGCCGTATTCACGTCGATCATTTTCGTAAGAATTTTCTTACGCACGACCTACTTCTTACGAAAATTTGGTATTCACGTCGACAGCAAAAATATCTTACGAATAAAAAAATTCTCGTAGATAGCTTGCGATTCACGTCGACCTTTTCTTAAGAATTCTCGTAAGAATGTCGTAAGTGCGATTCACGTCGTGTCATCTTAAGAATTTCTTAAGTTTTTCGTAAGAACATAATGTTAACGGTATGGTGGACTTACGAATACTCACCGAGCTGTCGTAAACTGACGCAACGATAAATCAGTGCAGTAGGCTAAGACTAAAATGACGAATTATTTTAAGAATTGACACTAATGGTTGTCTGGACTAAGAATGGCTGTTATTATTGAGCAAAATTATTACCAGCGAGCGAGTGAAGCGAAGTCTTTTCAATAAAACGGGAAAATATCAGTATGAGCGGCCCGGCCCGGCCTGTAATGCTTTTGGAGGCCTATATCTCATCAACCGCTGGACTGATTGACTTGTGGTCTTTTTGTTGGGCCGCCCCATCCCTTCTAACCCGCAATTTACTATCTTGATGCATCTAATTGACCATCGTGGCACGTGCCACGTGAGAAGTCAAGGGCGTCCAAGCTTTTTGCAGAAGTAGCGCTTTTGAGACTACCAATTTCTCAAAGTGGGCTTATATCTCAGCAACCACTGCATTAGGACGTTTGACTTGCGGTAATTTTTTTTTAGGGTAGCTGCAGCCCTTCTACTAAACATCGGGTACTCTTGATTCATGTGAGTGACCACCCGCTGCACGTGCAAAGTACAGACAGGTGTCACGTTTGTTCTTATTACAATAACTCGGCAATTACCGGCCAGATTGAGTTGAAACTTGGCATGTGGGTAGGCACCTACCAGGAAATCCGTTGTCATATGTCACGGTTGAGGTGCTACTGCACGTGCGCACGAGCAGGGGTCGCTTCCAGATGTCGAGAACGCCTGGACCGTTTGCACTCAAACTTGGCACACGGTTATAGGGACCGGTGCGAAGGGTGCCGGGCAAAATCCAGTTTGAACCATTTTACACGTGCGCACGTGCAGGGTGCCGCTTCTACATCTCAAGAACAGCTGGGCTGATTGCGCTCAAGTTTGGTCAGCGGCCAAGCCGATCAGCGGCCAAAAGGCTGGGGGGTCTTACGGACCCCCCAGTGGTGTAACGTTCTATATGTATGGGGGTACAGGTGCTTCCCCATCCACTAAAAGTGCATGTCCATCAATGTCAAGAAATAAGGCACCTCATACAGAAGTTGGGCTTGCCCAGTAGAAGAGGGGCGCCCCCAACACTTAACAGTGGCGCATTTTTGGAACAGTTGGAAGTCCTTCGCCTTTCTGTACAGTGCATGTGTGGGGGGCTCACTCGCGCGCTGGCTCGTTTGTCGCCCCAAAAGGCGTCTTGCTGGTTTGACTAAAATGAAATGCACAAATGCATGGATAGTTGTAGAAAAACACGGAACAAATAGTGCATGGACGCGTTTCGATTATTAAATCTTCATCAGCATGACATAACCACAAAGAAAACAAGATATCTTGTTTTCTTTGTGGGTATGTCATGCTGATGAAGATTCAATAATCGAAACGCGTCCATGCACTATTTGTTCCGTGTTTTTCTACTTGTCTCTATCAATTATATACAATGGATAGTTGTGTAAATCCCTACAAGGAGGATCCCTAAATCTCAATGATTAAGGCAAAGGTCAATGCACCAAACGCTTCTTACGAATTTCTTAGGATATTCCTACGAATTTTGACGTGAATACCGATTTTTGTAGATATCCAGACATTTCGTAAGAAAAAAACTTAAGAAGTGTCGACATGAATACCAAATTATACTTACGAAAGAAAATTGACTTACGAAGTCGACGTGAATACGGCCCATGGTCTAGTAGACAAAAAACGGCGCTACAAAACTGCTATCTCGGATTTTCATAATTTTGGGGTTTTGACCCCAAAAAATTCAAAAAATTGATTTTTTTTATAAAAAAGATGATGAAGATTTAATAATCGAAACGCGTCCATGCACTATTTGTTCCGTGTTTTTCTACTTGTCTCTATCAATTATATACAGTGGATAGTTGTGTAAATCCCTACAAGGAGGATGCCTAAATCTCAATGATTAAGGCAAAAGGTCAATGCACCAAACGCTTCTTACGAATTTCTTAAGATATTCCTACGAATTTTGACGTGAATACCGATTTTTGTAGATATCCAGACATTTCGTAAGAAAAAACTTAAGAAGTGTCGACATGAATACCAAATTATACTTACGAAAGAAAATTGACTTACGAAGTCGACGTGAATACGGCCCCAGGGGCCGTATTCACGTCGACTTCGTAAGTTCTCTGACAAGAATGTGTATTTCCCTAGACCGCTCGGAGGTGTGTGACAATAGAAAAGAATAAACGACTACGAATGTGATTAAACATCGTCAGTCTCGAACTTTCCTAAGTTATTTATTTTCCCAAGGCGATGGTGTATTGTTTCCTTCGTTGAGTGACATGGTTTCGTTATGCTTGCATTTGAAATTAAAGTAACCTTTTCGTCAGCTATTTGATTTAGGTAATGTCGGCTGCAATTTATTTATTGTCTGATGTTTACTGTCAGCGTTGAATTCAATGGGACGGGAAATGACTAGCTTAATGTCTTTTTTTCCTAGCCTAATTCAGAAGATTCGATAAATATATTGCACTGTTAGATTCATCAAAAAATTTACTTCTCTCGTTCGCTGTATCTGATGCTCATAGTTGGATCAAAGCTACCTTTTTGTTCACACCAGGCTGATTCCCCAATCTCCACTCCTGCGAATTCGCAGTGACCGGCGTCGCAGCTCCAGGTCGTGCGTCGTTCATCATCGTTCGTTCGTTCGTTCGTTCGTTCGTTCGTTCGTTGTCGTCGTACTTTGTGCGTCCCTCTTGACTCAGCGGCGCTCCCGTCGACCCTGCGCACAGTCGCGTGCCGCCGGCGACTGTCGCGTGCTACACTCGGGTGGGGACAGCCGCGCCGACTCACCCAGCCAGTGCCAGAGTTTTAATTATACCCGTCCGTGGCAGGTGTTTGACAAAACGCAACCGAATTTATAACGGTGTAATTAGGTGACTGGGTGAATGACTGTATCGCTGGCCTAGTTTCTGGCTCAGGAGAAATAGGGTTGTGTTATCGGCAAGTGCGTATGGTGGAAATGTCCTTTATGAAGTTGCTGGCAAATTTTCCGGCAATGATGCTCAAACATAAGTGGCTATTTTTGGACACTTCCACGCGCTATCTTGTAGGCCTATTCTTTTAAATGCATCTTCGTATGATAATAGGTCGTGCTCAGCGCATACACTGGGTACATACGAACGGTTTACACTTTACTGCCTCACCAGCCGATCTTTTTTGTTTGGTGGTTGGCCGTTATACGTCGCAGGATACTGGCGCTGGTGGTCGGCATAT